CACACAGGGACACACACACAGGCACACACACACACACACACAGGCACACACACACACAGGGACACACACACACACACACACACACAGGGACACACACACACACACACAGAGGCACGCACACACAGGAACACACACACAGGGGGACACACACACACACACAGGAACACACACACACAGAGGCACGCGCACACACACAGAGGCACGCGCACACACACACACACAGAGGCACGCGCACACACACACACACAGGAACACACACACACACAGGGACACACACGCACACACACACAGGGACACACACACACATTGTTTTATGAATATTTATTATTCCTAATATCTCAGTGACTTATTGATATTTTATTATTTACGTTAAACAACATTATTAAAACTGGGGGATTTTTATTAAATGTTTTTTTCTCGGACCAGTCGGATATTTAGGCTGTGAGAAATATTTCCAGATGTAAAGTTTTATTATTTCTAGTTTATTGTCTCCCTGCTGTAGAGTACTTATTATTATTATTAAGACATTATTAATAATAATAAAACATATCATCATATAATAGTGAATTGAAATTCTTGTTTTAGTTCATTTGTATTTTGTGAAGACTTTATAAATCCTGAAAATGTCACTGCAGCACCTCAGGCGTGCATCTGATCTGACCCGGTCGGGTGTCTCTCTCCTGTGACCCTCTGCCCCGTGTCTCTGTCTCCCCCTGCAGGTGGAGGTGGATAAGCAGGTGTTCCGGGGAACCGGTCCCAATAAGAAGGTAGCCAAAGCCAGCGCGGCGCTCGCCGCTCTCAACAGCCTGTTCTCCGGATCCAAACCGACCAACGTGAAGAAGAAACGCCTCAACCCAGCAGTGAGTTCAGCTCTGAGGGAGGCTGCGCCCCCTGCTGGCCAGTGGCTCCAGTTCAGCCCTGATCTCTATGTCTGTGCAGCCGAAGCGACCCCTGACCTCTGTGCTGACCATCCCGACGCTCGCCGCCAGACCTCCACGGATCCCCGTCCTGCCCAGAGCGCCGTACATCAGCACGCCCCCCACACACGGCTACATCCCCCCAGGTGGGTCCGGCTGCAGATTAAATCTACTTTCAGGATTAAATGAAGATTTTTCTGTTTTCGGATCAAAACATGAAGAGAAAACTAGAATTTACTTCAAAGAACATCTGAACGTTGCAGCGGCTCGTTTCTGTTCCCTTATGATGGATTCATACCTGAAAGACGAACCTGCTGAAATCCAACAAGCTTAGTTTCTGGTTGCCATGGCGATTGGCACATTTTCTTGGCAGCAGAGGAAGCCCGCAGCATCACTGTTCATGACTGAAATGAACACCTTCTGTTCCTGCTGGAGACGAAGGTTCACTGAGAGAACATTAAAGTCTTTAAACAAAACATGTTGGAGACAAACTGTAAAGATCTATAATCCATAAACTTTTACAGTTTAGTTAAAATGTTCCTGAATGTTTTAAAAGTTTATATTTAGGCTAAACTTCTGTTTTTATTTATTAAATGGGATCAATTATGCAAAATGAACTCTTTGCCCACTTTAGTTCTTCCATGTGGGTCTTTACTGCTTCCAGAAAATAAACAGAAAAATAGAACTTAATGTTTATTGTGTCTGGAAAACGAGCCGTTTCAAAAACCTCCAGCAGCAGCTCATTAGCATAAAAGTGACAGAGCAATAAAACGTCTGATTCTGAAAGAGGCTCCAACAGGCAGAACTGAGGAGATGAAATCTCATTAATAATAAACGTGTTTGTAGTGTGCAGATTTATTCTAACTCGTTTAAAATTAAGCAAAATGAAACATAATGCCACCTTTACAGGAAGCTGTGTGTTTTTGTAGCTCTGATATTTTCAAACTGGAGTTGTGCTGCAGTGAGGCGGTTTTTCTCCTCAGGTTACTAATGAATGTCTGATATTTCTGCCCTCCATCCCCCTGAGGAAACCAGCTGCAGGTCTGGAGGTTTTCTGACCATCAGAGGGAGGAAAACGGATCAAACTGTTTCCTGATGGTGACGGACGTTTTGTCTCCTCTGCAGGTTTCGGTGCTCCATACGGCTACAGCCCTGCTGCCCCCCTCCCTGCCTACAGTAAGCCCCTCTACCTCTGATCAATAATCAATAATCCATCCATCATCCCATCACTCCAGCTTCTGTTCTTTGGCTCTTCCTCAGGTCTTCCCTCCAGATTGCCCTCAGTAGTTGTTCCCGTCATCAGAGTTCCCCCCGTTTACCCCGTCACCCACCTGTACCCCTACTAGCCCCGCCCACCTGTACCCCTGCTAGCCCCGCCCACTTGTACCCCTGCTAGCCCCGCCCCCTCCACCTGTTAAAGGAATATCCTCACTAAAGAATTATGTTCAGTAATCCAAAACATTTGAACTCAGAAACATTTTCTCGTTTTCACTTCTTCAAATCTGCATAAAGTGACTCAACATTCCACATGTAGAGGAGAATCACTCACAACCCGACTCCACTGATCAATAAACACCGTTTGTGACATTTTAATATTTTCAGATGATTATGTTTAATCATAAGAGGCTGTAGAAATAAACGGATCTGATGCAGATTAGATTTATAATCAGCAGCTTCTGGATAAAAGTTTTTCTGCAGATGCTTCACCTGCTGCAGGTTATAAAGTTTTAAAGTTGAACATCCTGCAGACGAGACGCAGCAGAAAGGAGCTGAAGTTACAGCCTGAATGAAATCCTGTTTGTTTCAGGGAGAGCAGCTGTTTAAGCCGCGCGTTTGTTTTAGTTTGTGGGTTTTTTGTCATTTTTGGTTTTATATTTTGCGTTTGTTGTGTTGAGGATATAAACTGCAGTCAGTTTGAGTCAGAACCCTCTGCAGTGATGAAACGGTGAAACCCAGAATGTGTCGGATATTCCTTTAACTTTCCCTCCTGTGATTCATTTGCTTGTTTTTGTTTTTTTGGTCTTGAAAAGTTTACAGCGATCAGTTGCACTGAAAACATTTTTCCTTTCATTTCATATCAACTGTTTACATTTGCTGCTGTTTTATTTTGACCTGGTTGTTAATAATAATCTTTTTAAATAAAAATATTTTTGTGAAATGTTGATTTATTTATTTATTATTGTTATTTTTACAATAAGCTTTTCAGCAGGAAAATCTCTGATATTTTAACTGTGGTCAGATGACAGCAGTGTTTCAGGAGGAAGTGATGTCATAATCTACCTTCAGTCCAACAGATGAATAAAAACCGTTTCAGGTTTTAATTCCTGGTTTGATTCTGTAGCTCGTTAATTTTAATCAGGAGTTTACAGCCACGCCTGGTCAGGACTTTTCATCTGGGTTTTAATGAACTGGAGGATCTACTAGAAGACTGAACTAGTAGATCACAGATCAGATTAAGTGATCCAAGGTTCCTTATATTGTGATGGAGGTAAAAGCCATGAAATGCATCCAGTGGTGGGATCATCTCTGCTAGTGCGCTAATCACTTTTTTTTTGTTTAGTTTTAAAACATTTAGTGCAGGTTAGTAAACTCTCAGCTGAATAAAGTTCAACATCTGTGTTGAAGTTTTGTTCATCAACTGTTAAAAAAATCTTAAAGTTTATATTCATGCTCTTATTTTGAAGTAGCAGACTGTTTATGCTGCAGCAAGCTACATTTACTCTGTACCCAGAATGCATTGCTTATAGTTCAAACAGCCATAAAACTGAAACTTAATTTAACGCTTTAGCATTAGCTTCCACTAAGTAGCATGTTGGTGTAGTGCTTTAGCGTTAGCAGAACTAATGTTTATGATTAGTGCTTCAGGGTTAGCACAGCTAGCTTTTTAGTTAGCAGTGATCACCAATGAAGGTTTTAAAAAAATGTAAGTAAAAGAGGATTTAATGGATGTTAGGAGAGTCGTTATACATTTAAGTTTTTCCGTCAAACTGGTTCCGATTCTTTTCTCCATTAAGTCCAGCAGATGTTTCTGTGACCTGATGTTGTTGCCTGTCTGCAGGCGGCCTGTACATCGACAGTGCCTACTACCAGCCGCAGACCATCGCCACGCCCATCATCATCCATCTGGGCCCTCAGGATCTGTTCTGACCCAAAGCCCGGTTTGAACTCCAATCCGCTCAAACCGTCGGTTTCCACATGACGGCCAGCAGCAGCACTTAAAGCAATATGGAGGACGATGGCGGCGCGTCGGGCAGCACAGGTCCAGTTCTGGCTCCTGAAGAAAACACAAAGCAATACTCTGGCTGCCTTCAGGGGCCTCAGGGGCCCTAAACGTCTCGGAGTGAAACTCAAGCAGCCCAGAAACTGGAAATATTAACTGTGTTTCAGTATAAACTCAGCAGCAGCTGAACATATTTATTAACATATTTATGAATGTAAATACAGTCATGACTGTAACTTTGTATTCAAACATATTTGCATATCGCTGTATCAGATGATGGTATTTAATCTTGTATTAAACATTCCTGTATCTCGGCGGCACCTTTGGTCTGAGCTGGAGGATTTAAAAACTACATTTTCAATCATTTGTTGTTTTGTTTGGAATCATCTGAGATCAGATCCGGAAAACCCAGAAAGACAGGAGCCATTGTAAGGAATTCCCAAAGAGGAGGTTCAGGGTTTCAATTTAGGTCTTCATTTTAAGAAACATTCTTCTTTGCACAACCTGCTGCAGGAAAGTCCCAGAAGAGACGCCGCCATCTTTATTAGTCTACAGTCACACAGCAGGCAAATTCAACCCAAACCAGAGTTTTGAGTTTCCATGCAGTCTAAACGGACCTGTTCCAATGTTTCAAGCAATTTTTTTGGGAAAAAATGACTTGGGCCATTATTTTAGGAATTTTAGGATCAGCAGTAAAACAAACGACAGCAGGATATTTTTAAAGGGGCAGTATTTTGTGTTCTCTATTTTAGAGTACAATTAAGTAACTGTAATCTTCAGTTGTTTTAAATATGCTTTATATATAAAATAATTCAGCTGTAATGACTTCAGGAAGTCATCACAACATGGCTCCTCTATTAACTAACATTTCTACCAGCATTTTACTGAGCAGCAGCTCCTATCATGAGCTCAGCAGATCCACCAGGTGTTTGCTAATTGCTGCTGGCTAGTCTGAAGGAGCTGAGTGGAGGTTGCTCTGTGAGCTGGAGGCTCAAAGGAGGAGTAGAGCCTCGAAGGCGGAGCTAGGTCCACCCAGGGGTTTTGCACAGTGCAACACTCCAGGTTTGTTTTCTGTGGATAACAAACCTGCAAGCTGAAAAATGTTGATTTTACATAACCCTGCCTCTTTAAATCTTGATGTTTGGACGTTTTCCACCAGGAACCAAACTTCCCACTGATGTTACAGAATCATGTTTTCTAGTGAAATCAACACTTTGGTTGGATCTGATGAAACTTTTCATCTATCAGCAGGCAGTTTGAGCTGAAGCCTTTTGGTTCTGTTGAGCAGATGGTTTCTCATGCAGACCAACAGAGACTTTCTGCAGCTTCCTGAGTGTGTGCACACACTCCTCCATTCTGCTGTTTACACCTCATGGGGAAACGTTGACCCCTCCTGACCTCTGCTGACCTCAGAGCGGAGCTCCGCGTCATTCCTGACACCGAGCTGACAGCTGCGCCTCGGCCCGCTGCTCGTTTCTGCCGGGCTGCAGCGTCAGATGGAGCCTCCAGATCCTCCCGGTATTTTTAGCGGCGGGACGCGGAGCCAGAAGGTGTTGGATTACGCAACGTGGGCGCATGGCGGCAGTTTGTCACGCTGTATGAGCGGTCAGGTTCACCGTGGGGAAACTGCAGTTTAATCACCTTGTTAGTCCAAAGCAAACCGTCCTGACAGCAAATCAGGACGAAGAGCGTCCAGGAACGAACCGGCCTCTGAACACTTTAACTGCATTATGATTAGATATAATGTGTTTATGGATGTATAACAAACAAGCATTAAAATACCCTGAAATATAAGGAAAAGTGCTGAAGGTGCTGAAGGTTTCATGGATCTGGAGACTTTCAGTCAGTTTCTCTAAAACATTAAGACAGGCTGCAGCCCCAAGTTCATTAACTGGTTTAGTAATTAATTAATCGTTAACTGAAACCTCTAAAACGGCCATCTGCTGAAAGAACAACTCACTAAGACAAAATAGATATATTTTTTCTTTTCAGATACTTGAAAACTTTTGCCTGCATCTGCCCAGAACTCCTCAGGTGACAGTTTTAACTTCACCTGGTTTAAATTCTTTAAGAAAAAAAAAAAATCTCGGCTCATTTTTGGCTGTAGATGATTCCTTAAGCGGTTAAATGAAAAATCTGCACAAAGTAGCTTTTTTAAAAATCTGATTAATCAATTGTCAGACCCTGAATCAATGAAATCAGCAGATTAATAAATAAAATAAATGTTTTCTGTTTAATCAAAAACAAAGTTATAGAAACAATTATGAAACCTAAAAACAAATCTTCATTACACGTTGAAAATATAGCATAATGTCAGTAACAGATTTTCTTCTGGGTTTTTTTGTAAAATCTCAAAGATCTTTTTAATGTGACGACAGCTCCCTCTGCTGGTCAACTTTAATATCAAACTTTCTTTTGAACGGAAAGGAAGAAGAAATATTTTAAATGCTAAATAATTCACAATAAGATACAATCTATTTCACGGTAAATCTGTGCTATTTAATTTCATTATGTAAAAATTAGAGAGGAAATACAATAAACAAGAATTTAAAAAGATATAACCTGAACAAAATAATATTACAGAGATGTTAGAAAATTAAATATAAAGAAAAGAGGGAAGGAGGGATGAACAGATAAGGATAAGCGAGAAAAAAAAATATTTTTCAGCTTTTTGTTGACTAAAGAAAAAATATTTAGGACAATTCAGCAGGTTTCCACTTTGGCCACTAGATGGCAGCAAAGCTGTGCGTTTGACCGGATATCAGCTGAAGTTTCTCTTCCTGCTCAGAAACTGATTCCTGTTTCTTCCTGACCCTGAACTTCAGTAAGTTATTTTAAAACAGAAATTTCAGGCTTCAAACATTTCACTTCATGTGTTTTGAGTCTGTATAACATGAGTTTCACTTTCTGTAACGAGGGAGAGAAATATTGGACTTTTCATGATATTCCAAGTTTGTAAATCTGATTGAGATCTGTGAAGGCGGTGCTGCAGAGATGTGGTCGTCCTCCTGAAACGTTGATCCTCGGATCGGTTCCATGTAAAAACAGCTTCATTATCCTGACAGCTGCTGATGCCGAGGATCCACAACAATCTCATCTGTCCAGATCCACAGAGGGAAAGTCAGTTCATCAGCGGAGAAAAACTCTCATTATGAACTGTGAAGAAACCCTTAAAGCTCTGGATGTTGAGCTGGTTCTGATTTTGGTTCCGTGACGATGCAGCTGCTAATTAGAACTGGATTAATTAGACTCTCCATCAGCAGACGGTCGTTCCTGGAGGATGAGTTTATCTGCAGAGTTTTCACTCGGCAGATAAAAACTCTGTTTTACCAAAGTCTGGTAAAACTGTGACTTTGTTCTGAATTCTCACATTTCACTTCTAGGAATACTTTGTGATTTGATGTTTTTTCCTTTCAGAATCCTCCGGTTGTTCCTGGAAAGCCGCCATGTTTGTTGAGAAGCAGGCGTCAAATTGGAGAAGCAGAGACTTCATGAGCAGAGGAGCAGACTGACGTTGGGCGACGACTTTCATACAAACTGCAAATCAAACAACATTCAGATGCTTTAGATGCCTCAGAGACTCGCATTCAGTTCAGTTTCCCTAACATGGTTGTTGAATGTCAACTCGCCTCAGTTCAGATTAGAGCTGATAACATGAAGATCAGACAAATTCAGCTTCTTCAGCCTGATTCTCTGATGTTTCTCACAAATTCAAAATGTCTGAATCCTTTTCTGAAAAAACCATCAACATGGTTTTACTGCCTGATTGTTATTTTTCCTGAACTGAAGCTGAACTTAGATCATGATCTGTTCCTGAGCAGCAGCTCATGGATTCCTCCATGGTGGGATTGGAATCAATCGATCACCAAGTGGTTTGTGATCAATCTGGCAAGTAATAAAAAAATCTACATATTTCAGTTCTTTAAGGAAAAAAGTGCTTGTGTATTTTTATTTTTTTCAAATCTTTTCAGCTGTATGTACATTTTGGAAAGGGAAAAATATATTGCAAAATTTCTTGCAATTATTTCTAATCTCATCACAAAGTTTGTGATTTTGGAAAAAAACATAAAAAAACAAACAAACAACAAACAACATGCAGGAACATGGATTTATTACAGAGTGGAATACTTCAAGCTTTTATTTCCTGTAATGTTAATTATCATGGTTTGCAGATAAAACCTGAGCTTCAGTGACGCTGGATGAATCCGGCTCCAGTCAGACGAACATCCGTCTGGTTTCTCTGTTTCTGTTGGACCGATTCACTGCAGACATCCTAACACGTTTTTAGGAAGCTGTAACATCCCTCACCAGGTTTTATCTTCATGCCAGCAGATATCTGGCGCCTCCAACACTGAAATGTGATAAAACACAAAGTTTTAAGCTACAATAATAATAATAAATCTCTCTGCGTCTCCCTCCCTCCCCTCCTGCTGCTCTCGGTTCTGGCCCAAATTTGGCGCTGTCGGCCTCTGAAAAGGCATTTCCTCCTGACTGCCAGCCGCTGTGGCAGCATTTTGAGTTTCCCACAGGAAAATAAAAACATAAACTCTGACATAACATGTTTTTAGATGAAGGGATCAGGGCTCCCTGGGATCCTCTGGTGCTGAACCAACTCTGCCTGACGGGGAAATGACAACATGAAATGACAAAGTGAAAACACACAACAGTCAGAAACTTTTGATGAGTTTCATCACCAAAAATAAATATAAAACACAATAAATATGTTGATTAATGTTTCATTTAAGGAACTCAGTGTTTCGGCTGTTTTTCAGTTTTTTGGAAGTTTGTTCCAGATTTGTGGTGCATAGAAGCTGAATACTGCTCCTCTATGTTCTGGTTCTGGTTCTGGAGGCAGAACAGAACCAGAGGTCTGAAAGATTGATGCAACAGCAGCAGATCTTTAATCCATTCAGTGATTTATAAACTACCAGCAGTAGTTTAAGGTTTATTCTGTCAGTGAAACTGGGTGGTGTAGAACTGGGTGGTGTAGAACTGGGCGATGTAGAACTGGGTGGTGTAGAACTGTGTGATGTAGAACTGGGTGATGTAGAACTGGGTGGTGTAGAACTGGGTGATGTCTCTGTCTTCCTGGTTTTAGTCAGAGCTCCAGCTGCAGCATCTGGACCTGCTGCAGCTGAAGACGCTGCTGCAGTAATTAATGCTACTAAAGATAAACCCCTGGATGAGTTTCTCTAGATCTTCAGTCCTTTAATCCTGAAAATGTTCTTCAGGTGACAGAAGGCCGACTCAGACGCTCCAAAAGCAGGAAGTGATCTACAGCTCAGAGCATTTCAGTTTAAAGAAAAGACAAAAACAAATCCAGAACATTACTGCGGCCCATGACGGCATCTCGGCTTTTTCATTTGCTAAACTGGATGAATTTTGTGTTTCTTTGTTCTGAGTGAAGCCACAGAAACAAACCGACCGTCTGTTTCTCTCATCACTTCGTTTTCTGATGAACAGATTCCTTTAACTCTCCAGCAGAAACTCAGCAGCATCATGTGAGGCGGCGGGAACGATCGCCATGAAACAGCAGTCATGTGACCTGAAGGAAACACTGTAAAAAACATTTGGTTTGACTTTCTGCTGAAAGCTTGAGCTGACATCAGCGAGTTTAAAGAAAAAGTAAATTTATCTAAACTTATCAAGCAGAACGGAGGCTGAATTGGTTTCAACAGAAACACTTTTATTTTTCTCGTTAAAATATTTGTCCTGCTGCCTGTTGGTGAACTGAGCTTCATGTCTTCCTGCTGGATGATCCGTCAGCAGAAACATCTCATCCAGAAGGTATTTACATGATTTTATTACAAAGATGCTCATCATAATTCTCTTTATCAGTAATCATGTTGTAGTTTTTTTGTTGTGTTCTTCACCCAAACAAACTCCTCCTCTGTTTCTGCAGACTGAGACAGAGAACAGGCTCAAGGGGAGGAGAGCAGCAGAGTGAACAGGAGGAACTGATCTGATCTGAGTTTTAAAAACGTTCCCAGTTCACTTCCATCTAAAATGATGGTTCAAAATCAAACTGAGCCAAAGAGAATTAACATGAATTCAACTTTCTAATGACAACAACCTTAATACATTTATTTTTTAAAAAGTGCCAGAAAACCAAAGTCAAATTCTTTGTTTGAGTCACAATGTTGGCCAACAAAACAAATTCTGGTCATTTTTTACATTAATAAATGAACTCATCATTTGAAAACTGTATTGATCGAGTTACGATAATCTGTAACTGGAAAAAAAAAAAGAATAAAAATCAGGAGGGATTCAAATCTTCCCCCAGCAGAGACTCTGGTTTTTGTTCTGTACATGAAAAATGATGTATAAAGAATAATTAATAAATCCATCACAGGTCTGATATTCTGTCATAACCGGATCATCTTTTCTTCCTACTGAACTTCATGTTAATGAGTTTATGACATGAATTAAACCACCTTCATATAACTGATCATTCCTCATTTAGACAATTTACAGAAAGTTTTTCCTTCTCCATGGAAACCCAACTAGAAACATCTCATATTTTTAAAGAATAAAATTAGTGAAGTGCAACTATTAATGAGCCACACTAATAAAAAATGTATAAGAAAAAAACACAAGAAACGTCTTTAAAGCTAAATGTAATAATCCAGTTTGATGTTTTCAATGGTTTTTTTTCCAACATAAAAATAAAACGACTTTAAGGTGTTTTTTATTTTTATTACCTAAAATGAATCCAGAAACATCAACAAACAGAACATTCAAGTTTTAATCACACACATTATTTACAATAAACTTCAGGAAAATGTTGAGACCTCATGCTGAGAACCAAACAACTCAGAGATTAAAGCCCTTTGTCCAGATTATTAATCTGGTATAAACTGTGGTTGTTGTAGGATTATTGCACAAAAAGATGACAGGAATGTAAAAACTGTACATTTCATGAGATCTGTGTTGCTCCAGCATATGAGAACTGTCGACCTGAATGTTTCAGGTACGTTTAAATAATTCATTTTCACAGCAGGAGGAGGCAGATTAAATGGATTCTGTCTGTTTTTCTCAGGAAACAGAAACTTTTTGCTCCTAAAAGCTGGACGTGTTTGGATCCATCAGTTCAGAGACACAGAGCCGGGTCGGTTCTGAGCCTCAGGAGCCTCTGAGCAGCTTTTCCCACCAAAACAGATCCAAACGTCCGCAGGCTGAACGGCGCCGCATTTCAGCCGTTAGAAAACAAGAAGAGGAGCAAATTTCTGACAAAACAACTGAAAGTTTTAGATTAATCTCAAAAATTTTCTTGAAAAAACTTGTTAAATTCTGAGTTTGTATGCAAAAAATGCAAAATAAATTAAACTGAATCAGTAGACTGAGAAAAACAGTCAGGCGTCATAAGAACAGAACCAGTTCATTTAGTTTCAGACAAAAACCAGGAAATAACACAAAAAAGAACCAAACCGACCCGAACAGAACCGAACAAATCAGAACCGAACAGAACCGAACAGAACCGACCCGAACAGAACCGAACAAATCAGAACCGAACAGAACCGAACCAAACGGTCCAACACATCAACTGTAGGACAAACTCTGAGTTTTCAGACTCAGAGTTTTGTCCCGTTCTGGGTTTTTCACTAAACCCAGATAAATAAAATTTAAAATCAGTTCATGTTGTAAACGTTGGAGCGTCGCAGCTGGATGACGCTGCAGCAGCACTTCCTGTTGCTCATTTTAAAAACCTGCTGAGTTTTAATGGACTAAACAAATTTAACTATTTTCTTTTTTCATATCTGGTTGTTTTTATTTCTGAATCAGTTTGAAATAAATGAAATGAAGAAAATAAAAAAACTGATTTCTGTGGTTCTGAAGCTGCTTCTTCCACAAAAATCTACAACCTGCAACATTTTAAAAAGTTTCACAACATTTACCTTAAATCATCATAATTAGACCCAGAGGGACAAAACATTTATTCTGTTTCTTTTTCAAAAAGATTTTTTTAATTGTGCTCTTAATTTTTAAAAAATGCACATCCATAAAGTTTTCTACAAAATGTGATTTTAAAATGATTTCAGATTCTGAAACGTGTTTCTTCCCCTTCGATCGGCTGCAGTCAGAAACAATAACTGAAGTAAAATCTGTTTTCAACAAGTTTCCACAGACTGAATCCAATTAACTTTAATGTTGTTTCTGCAGCAATAAATCATGAAACGAGTCGTTTCAGTTCACTTCCAACAAGGAGACGTCCTGTTACAACGGCTGCTTTAAAAACGATGAATAAATCAAATTACTTGTTCCTTCCTGACCGAATTCAGCTTCTGCCTCTTCAGCACATCAAGAAAATACTGATAGCATCATTTTCAGAAGACATTATATTTTATTTAAGTCATTTTTAATTTTAGCTTTTTCATTAAAACTAAAAAATAGTTTGAGTTTTTTCTGCTTTTCAGCATTTCTCTCATAAATGAGACACAGTTCATGCAAACTGAAGCTTTTTACAGAGAAACTCAGGAAAGTTAAAGTTTAAACATTTAAAGCTCTTTAAATATGACAATAAGTGAAGGTTTTAATCTCATTTCTGTAGTTTAACTTCCATTTAAAGAAATCCCAGAGAAAATATCAGAATCTGATAAAAAGAATCAAAGACCACTGCTGCCCCTCCCCCACCTGTTGCTACAAACTGTTAGCCAGGGGGCTGAAGGATCTAAACTGGTTTTGTTGTTTGGAAGAAACAAACTTTGCTGTTTGGTTTCATTTCTTGGAGCCACTTATAATATTAAAGAAATATTTTATTACAATATTCATATTATTTTTAACAAAAAAAAATAAATAAAAAAATCAGGTTTTTACAGTATAAATATTATATTTTGCTGTTGGGCCTCAGATTGAAACATCTTGACCTCCAGGAGGTCAAACAGACGCAGACCTCTGTTACTGCGGCGCCGCAGTCACATCATTACATCAGTAATGATGTTTTAAATTTTAAAATTTTAAAAAGTTTCAGGAAGTTAAAGTGTGAGCGTTAAAATGGAGCCGGATCGACACGTCGGTCAGTTTCTGCCTGTTTCTCCTGCAGTCGGTTTGGAAACAGCAGAACGACAAACAAACATTCAGTGCAATAAATGAAGCTGCTACTCATGATGCTAAAGTTCAACTGGATCAGATGAAAACCTGAAAATGTCTCCTGGTTTTTAATCTAAATTTAATCTCAAAACCTGAAACTGAAGTTAATCCAGAAACTTCAAAATATCAGAAACTGATTTCAGATCAGTTTTCTGAGAGGATCAAACATTAGACATTAAAGATTCAACACTTTTTGTTTTGTAGCAAAATAACTAGTTAGATACATTATTACAGCCACAGAAGTCAAAATTAGAGAAATATTTAATCTTATTTAGCCACAACAGTAATAAGTCATTCATTTTTTGTTTTAAAATGTTTTAGCACATAGTTTAGTTTTAAATGTTATTTTTAAAACCTATAAAAGATACAAGTTACTGTCAGACTCTCCATAATGCTGAGAGAATATCACATCAAACCTTTAATATGAAAAAAATGATTAAAAAGAGCCAAAACCTCTGATCACATCCAGGTCTGATATGAATCAGAGATCAGGATCAATTTTCTGCATTTAGTCAAAACCAGTAAAACATTTTCTGCTTCAAACAGCAGCAAACAGAAACGGCTCAGCTTCATAAAACAGAAACGCTTCGGCTTCAGGTTCAGACTGGAGATCTGCTGATGAAACGTTTCAGGATCAAACCTCCCCAAATAAATAAATAAACTGTCCGTCTCCTGATTGGGCGTTCAGCAGACGGCAGGAGGAAAAACGCTGCAGGTCAGAGAGCCAAGCTGATTCATAAATCAACATTTTCTATGAATCCAGGCTGAACAAACATGGGCGGCTTCAGCAGAGGAGTCTGTTAGAAAACACATGGCTGAGTTTCCTCAGCTCAGGTTCAACTCAGATTTTCACACAGATCCTGAACATCTGGAGTCTGAGTCGTTTCACCTCCACACCTACATCCATCCTGAAACCATCAATCCATCAGTTCAACGCAGTTTGGAAAATCTGGATTTTATCCACCAATGAACTCCTGGAGTTTCCATGTCTCAGGGCGGCCATCTTGTTGTGTTTTACAGCTTCTGTTCATTTGGACTTTGAATTCAGGTTAACCAACAAAATATAATGGTCAGATGATCTGTTACAAAAATAAAGTCATATGACAATAAAGTTGAAATTCTGCCAAAATAAACTCACAATGTCAATAGAAGACGGTTGAAACATTAGAATGAAATAGGTTATAAAAAAATCCAAAATAAAAAGTAAGAAATTAATTATCCAAGTTTTTTTTTTTTTTGCCATTTCATCCGAAAGACAGAAAAATGAGGAAATACATTGTTTAGCTTTTTTGCATTTGCTGGATTTGAACGAGCAGGTTGAACTATAATTTCCTTTTCTGCGTCTTTTTTGCACTTTTTAAATATTTATTAGATTCTCTGAATTCACACATCGACTGTTTTCATGCAGTTTGGCGTCAAACTTTGTTTCCAGCAGGCATCAGCAGAGACGCCTCTCTGTGGTCCTGCAGGCGCCAATCAGACGCTTCTAAACCGTAGACATAATATAATATAATCTAAACCGTCTGCAGAGCGTCAGACGTGGCATCGCGTGTCGGTGCGCAGGCTTCCGGGGGGCGGAGCCTTCCTGCCGTCTGCGCAGCCGAGGCAGGAAGGAAGCAGCGGCTGCAGCAGACTGCCCAGGCCTTTTCGGAAGACGCTGTTGGAGAGGCTGTAGATGAGGCAGTTGCAGAAACTGTTGCTGATTGCTAGCCACGTGGTGAGAAACGACGCCACCATGTGGCGGTACAGCCCGGCGCTCTCCAGCAGGAAGTAGAGGATGTAGGGCATCCAGAGCACGTAGAAGACGCTGGTGATGCGGAACAGCACCATGGCGTAGCGCTTGTCGGTGCAGCCGTCGCAGCGCTCGCCCCCAGTGGGCGTGGCCTGCGCGCCGAAGCGGGCGTGGCGCTGGCTGATCTCCCGGGTGTGCTGCCGGCAGATCCGGAAGATGCTCCCGTACGTGAAGCAGACGGTGAGCGCCGCCGGCGCGTACAGCAGCGCCACGATGAAGGTGCTGAACGTCGGGTTGGTTCTCCACGACTCGGCGCACCACTGAAAGACGTCGCCATGGTAACCGGGCTTCCCCCAGCCCAGGAAGGACGGCAGGAAGACGAGGGCGGAGTAAACCCAGATGAGGACGATGCACGCCCGCAACCGGCACGGCGTCACCAGCGTGGCGTAGGACAGCGGGCGGGTGATGGCGATGTAGCGGTCCAAGCTGATGCACGCCAGCGACGCCATGGAGACGCTCTTCAGCACAGAAACGGCGTAGCCAAAGGCTTTGCAGGCGAGCTGCTGGTTCAGGCCCGGCAGGCAGCGCAGCAGCGACAGAGACGGCACCAGGCAGCTGACGCCCACCAGCAGGTCGGCGCACGCCATGGTCTGGATGAAGTGTCCGGTGCTGTGGTGGTGCAGCAGCGGCGCGCAGTGGAAGACGAAGATCACCAGCAGGTTCCCGGCGATGATGAGCACAGCGAGGAAGAGGATGATGGCCACCTCCAGCAGGCAGGTGTCCAGGCTGGGGGAGTAACCCACCGCTCCCAGCAGGCAGAACAAAGGAGAGCCGCTCTGGTTCGGACTGGAGGAGGAGTTCATGTTGGGTCGGGTTCAGCGCCACACGGCGGTCATCCCATCTTTAAACTCCGTTCCTCTAAATCCTCAACATGTTTGTCTGGTTTGGTGCTCAGGAAACAAATCCAGGTCATTGTCCTTCAGTCAGCATCTCCCCCCCTCAGCGGCCGGCCGCGCAGCAGCTGCTGCCCTCAGACATGATGCAGCCGGACTGCGCTGCTGCTGCAGGCGGGGAAACGTGTGCATGAGGGCAATAAGGAGGAACAATGAGGAGGAAGAGTGATGCTGCAGAGCACCTCGTCTTCCTCTCATCCCCTTACCCTGAGGTGAGCTCGCTGCACAGCCGTCCAGACGCCGCCAACTTCCTTCATCTGCTGCCGGGAAACGGAAACACTCCAAACACGTTGATCTTTTCCTCAAACCGACTCCGGACAAAACAAAGACGGGCGGCGTTCCGGCCGCAGGGTCCCGGCATGGAGGGAGAGGAGCAGCTGGAGCGGCTGGATAACGATGGACCCACAATGCCTCTCTCCTCTCCTCCCCCTGCTTCTTATCTCCCTCTTCATCCCTCCTCCCTCCTTCCTTACAGACTTTTCCCTCCTCCTCTCTCCATGGTTTCCTGCTTTCTTAGAGAAATGCCTCCAGTGATTCCAGCTCTGTGTTAAAGGTAATGAACATGTTAGGACGGGTCAGTGGGCCCTGAAACATCTTCATTACATTTTTCTTATATAAGGAGATTTTAGTCTCAGTTCTGCATTTCCAGCTGTTTTATGTCCTGTCACTTTAAGTCATGCTGCTGGCCACGCCCCCAAACTCAATGTTTACACTCATATGTAAAAAAGGCTGCAAACAAATGCATAATTATATAACCATACTTCTTTGAAAAGCAGAAGTGGAGCCTCCTGCACAACCAATAAAATGCAGCAAGTGGTTTCTGGAACGTAAGTCAACAACAGAACACTTTTCTTTTCCAGCAGCCATTGTACAGCAGTAAAACCAGCTGACCAAATGTGCTGGAAGCTCTCTTTGGGTTGCTAGGAAACGGGCTGACCTTTGCTGGGGTTGCTAGGTAACATGCAGTGCCAGCTGACTTATGACATTACATTCTGGAGGTTTTTAAATGGCTCTTTTTCCTGACTTTAGCCAAACTGTAACTTCAGGACGATGGAAGGTTTCAGACGCTCAGCCTGCAGTCTGATGTCGACACTGCGGGTATGAAAGAGGAGAAACACGAGGAGCGTCACGACCTGCAACAAACTGAGACAAACAGTTTCCATAACAACATGTCAATAATGAAGCCGCTTCACAACCAACGTTTCTGTTCTGGTTGACAGAGAGTTCAAGGGTCACCAGTCAGATGTTTGGCTGTTTTTTTTTTTTTTTTTTTTTTGGGATTTTTCCTTTTTGTTTCTCCTTTGTTCTTCCAGGTTAAAGGTCATTGATGCCACATCTGCTCAGCTTTACATGCCAGCTGTGTTTAGTGATCAGACATCAGGATGGTTTCACCTCTGCAGCTGGAGGTGGACAGGAGGATCACCGTGTGACTGGATCATGTGAGGCTCAGCCTGCTGCTGACCTGAGGCTCAGAGCCGCAGAACAGAAACACACAGAGACATTAAACCAGCAGCATTAAAACGAAGGTTTATGAGCAAATCAACACGCAGCAAAGACTCGACACTCCAGCTGAACATGAAGCACACACAGAGCTCGCTCTGTTTTCTAAACCACTAAAAAGAAAAGGAAACTTTTCATAAAAGCTGAGATATCTTCAGATTCTCTGTGTGGCAACAAAACAAACCTGGTTGGAAAACCTCCAAAGCAAACAGACTCAGCAGAAACATAATAAACCCAGCATCCTCCCTGAAACCTTTCATTTGAAACAAGATCATTAAAATGACCCCAGTGGCTTAAACAGAGATCCTCCTCTGACTGCAGATGATCCCAGCCCATCCACACCTTTCAGATTTTTCAAAAACTGTTGATCTCTGCAAAATGATGTGATGAGCCTCAAGAAAAATAACCAACATGTACATCCAAAAAAACTTCAGAATAACCCAAATCACTCAACTCTAAAATGATATGTAGATATTTGCCAACTTTCTTATAACTCCTGTTTAAATCTGAGCTGGAGATGTGTTCAGGATGAGTGAAGCTCTGGGTTGAGCTCTTCCTGTGTTTAAAATGCTCAGAGAAGCTGAGGTCAACCTGTAACTGGAAACTCCAACCCAGTATCTCTGCCCACAGAGACCAGAGGAACATCAACATGGAGAAAGAGAGGTGACTGTCTAAGAACCAGACCTTTGCCAGGAAACAATCAAACCAGGTGGCCACATCATCCTCCATGGAGAGGTTAAAGGGCATCAGGCCTCAGGCAGTCAGGGCTGCCAGGGGCACCAGCTTAAAAGTTAGACATCACCAATAAAGATCTGGGAATGTTGAAGAAACCAGTCGCTGGCCCTAAAAGACTGAAATATTTCAATATTTGAGTCTTTTAGGATAAAAGAACAAAAGTAGGATCCTGAAGATGCTCTGATGGACTTCAGTCAGAACAACCCAGGATGCAAATGTCATGTGGAAGGAGGCAAAGGAGGAGATCCATCAGGGAAACTATTGGGAAGCTTAGCAGACATGATGACAGAACAAAGAACAGCAAGCTTACAGGATCTGGAGGAAGAGCAGGTTCTGCCAAGTCCTGGATTGAAACCACATCCTGAAATCTGCACCGTGAAGAGCTGCCACTACCAGAACCTACATGACCAACTGGATCCACCAGCAGAAGCAAACACCACTCAAGATATCGGACACATTATACAAACCAAGGGAGATGAGGAGGAGACTGTGAGGCTGACCAGGGATCCTCCGCAGGTGGTCTACGTATTTCGCCATCATCAACAACGTTTCATCATTTCCTGCCACCAATCCTGGAATCTGTGCTGCAGAAATCCACAGCTGAAGCAAACCAGGTCAGAATGAAGAGCAGCAAACCCATGGTCCCATGATCTGTGGAAGATGTTGGGAGGTCACAGCTCTACCTTCTTACTGTCTTTAACCAGATTGTTTCCAGGAACTAACCTCCCCAAACAAACAGTTTCCATTGGAAAGGCAAAGGGGAACGTCACAGAGTGCACCTAGGCTGGTAAAACTCCTGAGTCACAGCACACCGCCTCCCTGCTGAGGGAGAAACATCCAGAATCAGCCAAGAAGCTCCACATTCCTCCAGGCCACTAGGGGGAGTCTTGAGTATGTAATATTACCTGTGTAAATATGCAGCTGTTCTATATTGTAAAATACTTTATAACACACATTCTCTTTCTTCCTCCAGTCTTCTAAACATCCTTTTAAATCATGACATCCTGTTTGATTTGGTTGTCGACTCCCCCTAGTGGTCTGGAGGACTTCTACTTTGTGGATCAAGTTTCCAGGATTTCATATGATGTTACTGATATTTGCAGAATTTTATTTTTGGTTCCTGTTTGCATCATTCATCTGTTTGCGGGATGTTTGCTGTGTGAACAAACCATCATACAGAAGAGTTAAGGTTCAGCTCTTTACTCCTCATTTCAGTGAAAAACAAAAGGAAGCAAGATAACTGTAACTGTTTCACAGGGTTTGAACTGTTTCATATGTAGCTCTTCATGCTCTATGCAGCAGAAAATAATCAGACGTGTTGATTTGGCTTCCTGTCTGCTGCAGGTAGTAACAGGCTGCGTCCTCCTGCAGCGCTGAGCTTCGGCTGACGGTTTGTTCAGTCATTTATTAGTTGTGCAGACATGAAGCAACTCTTAATTGACTGTGGCACCAGGAACTCCCCCCACCCCCACTACCATGTGAACATGTGCTTAAAGTTTATTCAATTCCTCTGGGAGCTCCTTCAGGTCAACTGTTACTGTGGAGCTAAAAACAGAAAAGAGGAAAACGAAAGAAAGGAACTGTGACATTTTATAACACAGTCAGTGATGCACTGACTGGAAGAAACCAGATTTTACTGATTTTAGCCTCAAACTGAACCTGGAGATCTGAGTATAAAATGTAAATGAGACTGTTCAAAAACCCGCCTGATTAACGCAGCGTTATGAGTCTCTGGCTGTCAGATGCTCCAGTTACTGTCTGTAACGTCTCTACACTTATTGGCACCACTGACGCCCTCTGGTGGCCAGTCTGGGAACTCCAGTCTCCTTTCTTGAGCCAATTTCAGCACAATCAGCTCGTTTTGTCTGTGAACAAATTATTTAAAATATTTATTTTAACTTAAAACATTTAAATATTTATTCTGCTCTCAGTCTCAATGTAAAGGTGGAAATAATCATATCAACAGATCTGAATAAATTTGCAGAAAAAACACTTTACAAAAAAGTGTTTTCAGTATAAAGATCATGTTTGTTCAGTTTAAATAAAAATAGAACATTTCTGAGAGTTTTTTCCATTCTAATAATAAAAGAATAAAATCACAGAAACAGCTTCCAGGATCTTTGTCTGATTCAAAGAGATGAAACCCACTGAGTTTAATTTAATTAGAGAAACATCTGATCATTGAACCAACAGAATAACTGTTATAATCGCGTTTCTCTTTTCAGATGAATCTCCACTGGGTTAAACGTTGTTCTCAAACCTGCTTCAAATGAAAACTCACAGGAAAGATCCTCATTTTATCAGAGCTGATTTACACCAGAAATGCAATAATTTTAGACTTTATTCGGTTCATCAGTTCATTGGTTCATCATGGTGTTAATAAATAAATCCAGAGTGAAAATGGGAAAAAGGAAGGAATGAACTGCTGCTTCACAGCTTGCAGATCAGAAACATCTCCATCACCAGCAGCTTGTCACAGCAGCCGTCCTCTGAATTATCGCTGCTGCAGCAGAAGAGCAGAGATGTGAGTGTGAATAAAAAATGTGTGAAGGATAAAGTTTTATCCTCAAAGTATAAAATAATCATGTTCATATTAGTTCATCTTCCTGCAGTTTTTGTGTCACTAATAGTGAAAAACATGTTTGATCTGAAAAACTAGTGATTTATTCAGTGACAGGAGAAATGAAAGGAGGTTTAAATTTAAACTCTGCACAGTGCAGACAAGAGAAAAAAATAATTGAAATGGGAACAAATCCTGATGAATTCAAATGTAACAGCAGATTTTCAGACTGAATAAAACAAACAGCAATAAAAGACACAAAAAAGGTTTTTACCATTTAATTCATCCAAATACAGTTGAACTTGTCTGAAGCTCTTTGGAGCATTTTCTACAATAAAGGTAAAAAATGAATGAATCTCCAAAATGTGATTTTTTTATCTGAACTGAGCTGTAAAATAACTGTAAACTAAGGGGCCCCCTCAGTGGAGCCCATTTTTTTGGTAATAATTTATGTCATAATATCAAAAACACACAGTTTCACTATGAAGTGATTTGTTTTTACAATAATATATATTTGATAATGTATGTAGAAATCATTATGGACAAAAAGAACAAATAAAATGCTGTTGGGGCCCTCTGGTGGCCGCGGTAGGTACTGCAGCTTCACCAGTAACGAGATGCAATGAGAATCCAAACGTCCAAAGTTCCGGTCAGAAGTTAAATTAGCAAAACAAAGAAAGAGGGAGAATAGAAAAAAGCCAAGATTAAGACTTTTTAAATGAGCCTTGGTGATGTAATGTAATGTAAAGATTAGTAAAGCTGCTAAAAGAAAATTAGCCTGATAGCGACCTGGACCGGTCCAGTTCAACAGCCAGACATTTATGCTAGGGCAGGGGTCCCCAAACTTTTTCCTGCGAGGGCCACATGACTGTTCCCTTTTCTGGTCGGGGGCCGGTCTTAGTTTTTCGAGAAAGAAACCTTAGAAAAGTTTTCTTGACGGGGGTGGGGGGGGAGGGGAAGAAAGGGGAGGATTGGATTACTGCCAACGACATATTCGTGTTTATAGATAGATTTTTACCCAGAATGCAAATGGAAAAAAACCGTGAGCGAAACGGTGACTGGTACTGACTGGTATATATGCCATTGAGGGAAACTAAGTTTCATATCTGCTCAAGAGCCCCCTGGTGGTTAAAAAAAAACACTGAATGCTCTCTGGTATTGTTCAGGGGGCCGGACCAAATGAGGAGGCGGGCCGGATCCGGCCCGCGGGCCGTAGCTTGGGGACCCCTGAGCTAGAGCTTACATGAGACATGTCGGGTCATCAAGCAATATCTTATGAAGAGTGTATGCTGCAAGTCACACTGGTAGTACTGCCCACATCTCTGTGTCCAAGC